GCGGATTGGCGGTATCTTTATTAATTATTTTCTATTAATTATTGAAAATTTACGCAAAGTGGTAAAGGACTTACTTATTCAGTTGACCCGCTCTATCTGTACACGACGGTTGGGCCGCGAGCTATGGGACACCCTGTATACAGGGTGTTTTATAATGTCCGTGCCAACGCTCGTGTACAGATAGAGTACAGTAAACAGAATAGAAAAGTCCTTTACCGTTTTGCAATTTTCGCAATAGTAATTGAGATATTAATTAAAAGAGATTGACGAATAATCGCGCGTTGATCGCGGCTAGATCGTAGGCTGTACGCTTTAGGCGTGACAGCAATGAGAATTGCATGGCAACAAAAAATAACAACGCATATCACTCCTGCTCTCGCTACGTGTTATTTTTCGTTGCCATGCGATCCTCGTTGTTGTCACGTTTAGAGTGTACAGCCCACGATCTAGCTACGCGCAACGCGCGATTATTCGTCAATCCCTTTTAATTAATATCTCAATTACTATTGCGAAAATTGCAAAACGGTAAAGGACTTTTCTATTCAGTTTACCGCACTCTATTCGCACACGAGCGTTGGCACGGACATTATGAAACACCCTTATATAATTTCTTTAAAATAATAAATTATATTATTTTAAATAAATTTAAAATCTTCTCGTAAAAAAATTATATAGGCTGTATAAATAATTATTTCTCTTGCTAATTGCCATATGCGTAAACGTTCACGATATTCATAACAGCTTTTAACAATTTCTTTATGGTAATCGGTATTGAAAATCGGAATTCAAACAAAAATATGAAGCTGTTTAAAGCAGAATTGGATCCGATTTTTGCTATAAAAGTATATTTTATTTTATATTATTTATATTTATTATATTTTCTTACTTATATTTAAGTGTTTCTTTATTTACGAATTAATATGAAGTAAGAACAAACACAAATAATAAATCAATAAAGTTAATATTAACTAAAATAAATCAATAAAAACAAGAAACTATAATTTATATTTTGTTACTTATAAATATACGATTGAGATTGCTAAATGGATAGAGCGTAACAGACTATATTGTCTGATCTATCTCGCAATTGTTTTGCATCACATAATTAGGATTGCTAAAGCTATCCGGCTTATTCTTGCTCAGGTCTCTTTTTTGTTTCAACTTATTTATGTAATTATCCGGCGTACATATAACAGACAATGTATACTCATTGCTTTTTGAATCAATCTGTTCCGCATTGAATTGCTCGGTTGATTTTATCTCGTCAGTTTGTTTAATCGGAGATAACTTAAAAGTGCCCTCCGAATCTGACGTGGATGATGGTAATTCTGAGTGGTCCTGATGCGGCGTAGAGCTGAGTATTAAGGACTCATCTGTCTTACAGCTAGGATTTATCCTTAAATATGCCGAATTTGGTGCATCTTCCAACAACGGCGTGTTTACATTATCCTGAGGCGATGACGATAGAGTTGCGTGATCCGGTGCAGATATCAATGTAAGGTAATCAGTTTTGCCACTTTCCATTGCATTCAAGTTCATATACGGTATGTTCAAACTGATGTAATGCTAAAACCAAAATAGAAAATGCTTTGTGCCATATTATATTTTTACGATTGTGTATTATAATAGAAGTGGTGCGTATACACAGTGTTTTAAATTATATTTATATTTTATAAATTGCTAAAATCCGAACAATTGTACTACTGATTAAATTACTGATTGTATTACACTTTTAGTTTGAACATTATATTATTTGTTTCTAATATTTAGAATTTCTTTTGTTATTATATGCGCTCTTGAATATCTGATTGATGTATATTTTTTGTTTCTTCTTTCACACTTATCACAGCTTTATAATGTTATAAAGTTAAAATGAAGAACAACTCACCGACTTCATATTTTCTTCTATTAAATTGCTAATACTCTCCACAAGATTCGTGAAACCTGGGCGTAAAATGGGTTCAGCCTTCCAACATTGTAACATTATGTCATATATTTCGAGAGAAGCGTATTCTGGCTGTTCCATTCTGTAACCCTCGATTAACTTTTGATATAGTTTTTCAACTTCTATGCCGGGATACGGTGTCTCAGCTAAGGTAAAAAATTCCCACAGCATTATACCAAAAGACCACACATCGGACTGCGTAGAAAACATAAAATCTTTCATCGATTCAATAGCCATCCACTTTATTGGCAATGGGCCGTCGCTTTTTTTCTTGTAATTGCCATCTTTGTACATACTTTTTGCAAGACCAAAATCGCAAATTTTCACTACATTGTCTTCGGTAAGCAAAATATTTCTTGCTGCTAAATCACCGTGTAACACCTAAAGAAACATATAACGACATAAAAAAATTAAAATAATACGCAAAAAATACTATCTTGAAAAGTTAGAAAGATTTGAATAGAAATTAAACAAATAATAATTGTATTTTATGAATATTGCAAATTGACATAAAAAACAAAAAAGTTATTAAGTATTGCATTGCTTTTAACTATGCAATACTAACGTACCTATTTATTAATTAACTATGATATTTTTGTTGTAAAATTAATAAAACAAAAATTAAATTTTTTAAATTTTATTTAATATTGTAACTGTTTACATATTAAAAAATAACGCACCTTTCTTTGACTGAGATATTCCATTCCACGTGCTACTTGAAATGCCCAAGATAACAAGTCTTGAGTGCAAATGGGTTTGAAATTTTGATCTTTGTAGTCACCGCGATAATTTGACCTCCAATCTGGTTGAGATGAATTATCACTGAAAATGTATCCGTCTGTCGAGCAGCTGGTTTCTTCATAATCTGTATTTACAGTTTTCGGACAATAACGGATTGCTGTATCGGAGTCTGAATTTAAATCAAAACTGCAAAAAATCATAATATTGCATATTCTATTCTACTGTATAAGGAAAGGTATTTTTGCAGTTGTAACAATAAAAAACCTTTAAAACGTTTAGTAAACAAACCTGTTATTGCTATTGACATTAGCTGTTTTTGTCAGTATATCCGTACTGATATTATTTACGATTTTTCCATTGGAATCAATTTGATTAATAAACTTGGTTCTATGTTTTAAGAGATAACTTTGCAGATTTCCGAAACAGCAATATTCCACAATCACCAGCAATTCATCTGTTATAACAAAAATTTTAATTATTTATGTCTTTGTGTAATTATATTTAATTGTTTGTTTTATTTTTGTATTATTTAAAAATGCAATATTCTTGTAACATTTTTATTAACAAAAATAAGCTGTAAAAACTAAAGCTCTTTGATTCTTATAGCATATCTTCTGTAAATTTTGTCCTTGTTACAGAACCATACATTACTCTTTTACAATTCGTACGTTTGAAAATATTTTTAGTACAAGCACCAAGAAGATTGACAACATTGAGATGCTTGCCCAGATGTATCATTATTTTTAATTCATTCGAAAGTGCGCGGATATAAGTTAGATCGGTGGTCCGACGAACGATTTTTACGGCCACGGTAGTGACCATCTCATTTTTGCATATTCCTAGCGCTTCCGCCTTCATTACTACACCAAACGCACCGCTACCTAATTGTTTTCCTAAAATATAATTTATCAGAACAAATGCTGTAATAAAATGAAAATTTTAATTAATTGTAAGCAAAATAAGTTGCGCTTACCGAGTTTTAATCGCCCCCGTGGAAATTCATAATTTTTATCATATGGAAGTAATTCCGCTTGTTCGTCAATTGTCAGATCCGGATTTAAACATTCCGTAGCACCATCTACAAAGTGCATAAGACCTGCTTCCATTAATTCCCTCTTCAATTTCTGTGTAACAATTTAATTTTTATTTATAATTAAAGAATACTACATCGGTTATAAATTTTTACCACCACTCGGAGAAAATTTTATATTAAAAATTACTATGCATGACAATAACCGCGGATGAAAAAATTATAAAAATTTTTACTATGTTTTTCACATGTAAAAACATAATAAAAATTTTCAGTTCGCGGCTACTGCCGTACATAGTAATTTTTTATATAAAATTTTTTCCGTGTACACAATATCTAATTACATTTTATATATATTGTATAAATCATCTATAAATAATATAGAATGCAATTTACCTTTTCACGACGAACTTTAATTGTGATAAAGATTGCTAAAATCACTGAGATGATACTCAAAAGAGCTATTGAAATAGCTAATATTACATCAAGTTTTTGTTCTTCAACTGCTCAAAAAATATATTTAAAAAATTTTTGAAATATTATTGTATAAATATAATTGTATATTTTTCTTTAAAACTTACTTTTTACACTTTTTATAATTATCAACTGGTAAGTTTCCTTGAAACCAAAACGATTAGTAGCGCGGCATAAATATTTTCCGCCATTGTATTTGTTTAAATGTTTGATATTAAGCTCTTGATAATTCGATTGAAAAGAATATTGATCATTTTCTTCCAATAGTGTGTTGTCCTGAAAATTGTAGAAAAATAAAATATAACATTTAGTTTTATTTAGTCAAAATAGTTGTAATTAAAAAATGTAAATGTGGTACTTTGAACCAAGCCATTATTGGTATAGGCATTCCTTTTGCAAAACATTGTAATGTTACAGTTTCATTGCGTCCTGGAATCATTTCAATATCTCTTGCTATGGTTTCGTTCATATTAGTTTTGTAGAAAAATGGTGATACAGGATCTACATGACATCAAACACATCAAAATAGTTAATTAAAAACATACATATTTGATATACACATTTTCTTAAAAAAAATGAGTTTTTATTTAGTGTAGTAAAAAGTTTAAAAAATATAGACAGCAACCCATTGTTGAAATATAAAACATTTCTATATATCTATATCTAAATGTAAAGGATTTCAGATTTATTCAGTTTTCATATTCTTAGTAAAAACTTTTGTGTTTATCAGTTTCTCTTAAAAAATTAAATCACTATAACTATAACATAATTAAAAAAATGTTTTAGTTACAAAAACGTTATGATTACCATGCACAACTAATTCATAATGTCTAGTTTGAAGAAAAGCTACGTTGTTCGATATATATATTCCGACACAAGTATAATCTTTTGCATCTGATTCTTGAACATTAATGATTTCCAAAGTTGATCGATAAGTAAATAGAGTGTTGTTTTGCACAATACGTAGTCTTTCTGAAATTATAAAGATTATAAACAATATTTATACTTATCTTATATTTTTTATATACAAATTAGATTTTTGCAATCAATTTTTTTTATAAAATTTTTATAATATATAGTGCTATTGCGTATGACTTCAAAATTCCTTCTTTAATTAATTTCCTCATTCCAAACAATTACCTGTTTCAGTTAAGTTCACCCACGTAAGCTCGGCTGTATAGTAAGAAATGGAAGCAACACATGTAATCTCTGATACATTATCACCTTTTATCACCGATTCTTTTGGACCGATGATAGAAAAATTATCTACAGCACCTATAAAAATAAAAAAAATATTAATGTTAAGTATTACATTTGGATGACACATTTAGATGACATTAGATGACACGCAAAATAGCTATTGAAATAATTAATATTACGTTCAGTTTTTATTACAATCACTAAAGATATTTATGTTTTTAATCTATTCATTAATAGTATTATATAACTATATTTTTCCACAAAGCTTACTTATATTTGTAATTCTTATTTGTTGATAAGTTTCGTTGGTGCCAAATCGATTAGTAGCGCGGCACAGATATTTTCCGTAATCGTTTTGCTTTAAATATTTAATGTAAAGCTCTTGATGATCAGACTTAAATGAATATTGATCATTTTCTTTCAACGTTGTATTGTCCTAAAAATTATAGAAAAATAAAATATAACATTTATTGCGTTCAGTTCTATCTAGCCAAAATGATTATATTTAAAAAATATAAGTGACATACTTTGTACCAAGTCACATTTGGTTTAGGCATCCCATTTACAAAACATTTTAATGTCAGTGTACTATAATCGTCCGCAATTCTATCTATGTCTCTCACTTCGGTTTTGTTCATATTAGTTTCGTCGAAAAATGGTCGTACAGGATCTACGTGATATCAAACGTATTAAAGCATGTAAGCATTGGTATACACATTTTGTTAAAGTAAACTGAGGACAAAATACCTACTGAATATAAAAAGATTATAATTACCATGTACAACTAATTCATAGGTTTCATCTGCAATAGTATCTGAATCGCTCGTGAATTGTCCGACACAAATATAAGCCATAGCATCAGATTTTTGGACATTATTGATCTTTACAGTTGATCGATGAGAGAACAAAGTTTTATTTTGCACAATATGTAGTCTTTCTAAAATAACAAAAAAAAGCAATATTTATAAATTTTTTTATTCATATTTATTAAATAGAAATTGAATTTTTATTTTATATTTCCCCAAAAAATATTTGATATTTTCATTTAATTTTTCTCAGAAAAGTTATTGTTATTCAATTTTTAATATTTTCTTTGATTAATTTTTTGGTTTTAAATAATTACCTGATTCGGCAAGTAACGTTTTATTCGAATTTTCCCACTTAAGTTTGTCTGTATAGTAAGAAACGGAAGCAACACATGTAAATTCTACGTCGTCACCTTTTATCACCAACTCTTTTGGTCCAATAATTGAAAAATTACCTATTCCATCTGTAAAATTTAAAAAATAAGAAAAATAGTAATATTATCAACATTCTGACACATTTGGATGCACTATTGGAACAGTTTAAACATACAATAATATGTTCGGAGCTTTTATCTTATTATTAGTTACAACACATATAAACAAGAACAGAAATCATTGTTACCGGAAACAAAAATTGATGAAACTGAAACATCACAACCAACAGCATTGCAGGCTACACATGTTATTTTTCCCGACATTTCGATAGGCATTTTTACTTTTGAAGCAAATCTTTTGTAGAACATCAAAATTCCTTCACTCGTAAAATTTGCATCCTGCAAAAATCATAGAATTTTTTCATTATACAAGATATAAATCGTATAAATACTTTCCTAATAAAATCAGATTGATATAAAAGTGTACTCACTGTCAGTTGGATAGTTGTTGAATTTTTACATGACGGAAAATCAATACATTTTAGAAAATTCCATGTTATATTTGAAAACACATATGATAGTGATGTACAATGCAGTTCTGCATTCTCATTAGGTGCATAATAAGATTTAATGTTATACAATATAGGAATTGGTTTAACTAGAATCAATACAGTTATACAATATTGCAGTTACTGCATTTTTATTTTATTTCGACAAATAATTCCAATACCTGTAACTTTTAATGTAAAATTTAATTTTTTAGTTATGTAATGGTTTTCAGCTACTAGTGTATAAACTCCTTCGTCCATCTTCCTTAATGACTTTATTTTAAAAATAGTAAATGTTGATGATGTATTTATGGAATAATTATCTTCCTCTACAAGTTTGTAGTTGTACTTATACCTTAAAAAAGCAATATGTTTAAAATAACAAAACATTATGACAAAAAAATTAATTTGTTTAATAAATTTGAGTTTTTTAATACATTACAAAAATTACCATTTCAGACGAGGTTTAGGATATCCATTAAAAAAAACAACCCATTCTACTTTACTGCCGATTTCTTGTTGATAAAGTTTGACAGGATGTTGAGATGTAAGATTAATGTATCTTCCACGAATATCTAAAATTTAAACAAATAAGCTCATAAAACAAACTGGCAAAATTTGTTTGTTTAACTTTAAAACACTTTGTATACGTAGACATCTTACAAATTTGAAATTAAATTTCTAAATTATACAACTTTTCTTTAATGTATAAGAACTCATTGTATGCATATGTAAAATGCAATCTATTGAATTTTACATTGTATGCACACAATTATTTCAAATGTAAGTGTAATTTTTTACAAATATATGTATTCTTTTAAATATATAATGAAGTAACCATGTATCATGATGTTTCTCGTCGTTTTTTTTATGTCGTTATCCGATCTAATGAAGCACTCATATTCTCCCTCATCCTCATTCGTCACATTCAATACCGTCAACTGACGCGTAACTTCGAGATTGTTTCTGTCGAGATCTTTTCTAAAATGATGAATCTTTATTCTACTGCTATTCTGTAAGAGAAAAATGTGCGTGTGATAAATGTAATGCGACCTCCATGAATTTTATTTTTTATTTGTTGCATGCTTGGATATAAAATGGATTTGAGATAAATTATTTAAAAAATTAATTGCATCTATAAAACTAAAAGAAACCTTTTAAAAAATAAAATCAAGAAAAAGTACAAAAAAAAATAAAAATTCTCACGTTACTAATTATGCTGATTTTTCTAAATTAAATTTTTTTAAATTTAACAATTAAAAATTAAATAAGACATACTTTGAATTAAAATGAATTTTTGTTTTAATAATATTTTTTATCATGTAAAATTAAAACAATTTATCTACCTGTTGAGGTGTGATCCAATCGAATGTGTATCGCATAGACGTGTCTACCTGCACAGTACAATTTACATGGAGATTTTCTCCGCGAATAACGTGGTGCAAAGTGCCGTCGTCGATTATTGGTTCGGGCAAGATTTCTTTTACGATAACAAAAAATGTATTGCATTTTTATTAAATTAAATAACTACTTAATCAATAGTATTTCATTATAAAATTATAATAATTAGACAATTGAAATGTTGCTTTCAACACTTATATACATGGTTGAATTAATATTTTAAGCCGGCCATACTTACGATCCACGAACAATACGTAATTGACCTCATGCAATATGCCATCCTTTTCTATCGAACATCTATACCGATCGTTATTTTTCATTGTCAGGTTCTTGATCATAAAACCAATTCTCGGATCAAATGGTTTCTTCGTCTCTTTATCATCCTGTACACACGTAAAATTTGAAAAATATCGTGTCATAAATATTAATCTGATAAAATTAATAGACATTATTATCATGATATAATAAAGAATTTGAAGTAATAACATGCTAAAAGCTTTTCCAATATCTTTTATTACAATTTTTCATTATGTCTGATAAACATAATTTATTGAAAACTCAGATTAATCTGTAATTAGAAATGAAACAATACCTAATCTTACGTAACTTCGTAACATATTGAAACTATGTATTTTACAAACATGAATAAGAAGAGTCGTGAAATACTTACATTGACATATAAAATGGGTACTATATCTGGTGATGTAGTTTTACATGGTATTGCAATATCATTACCAACAATTGCACTTAGGTGAGCATTGGTGTCCGCTTCCACAAAGAAATGTGTATTAGCTGTAATATAATTCATTCAATACCAAGATTTATACACAACAAACAAAACACAAACATAAATGTTTTTCATTATACTGCAAAAAAATAAGATATGCGATTTGATCTTACATTTTACATAAACATATATCCAGTTCACTTCGGGATTGTCGTAAGAATTTGGAATAATGTCAACGTTATAGTCCGCACAACCGTACCAACCTGTATCGCCGAAAACAGTATTTGGTCGTTGAAAAACAAATTTGTAAACGCCATTTTCTTCAGTATCAATTATTTTCGGAGTTGAAGTATTAATCTGTTAAAATATAATACAAGTATTTAGTTCATGAAATACCTACATTTGCATGTTAAAATAAGAATATTGTAACTACTTTTGTCTTATTTTTATTTTTATTTTATAAACATAAATAAATTTCTGTACAGCAAAAATTCAATATTTCTTCTTAAAACAAATATCTATAGTTTTATATGTAAAATAAATGCACTGCACATCATATAAAATATATCTTATTATTTCAAATATAATGCAGGATTTATAAAAATAAAAGTAACAATATTTATAAAAGTAAAAAAATTAACATGTATCTATATAGACAACATAAAAATTTATAAAATTATGATAAAAGAAGGGGATCAAGAGCCAAAGCTGGATGTAATTGCTGCAAAAAAATCTTCTTTATTTAAAGAGTTGAGTGAGTAAACGTTTCAGTCTTCAATCCGACCATCTTCAGTACAATCTTGATTCGATAAATTGTGAGAGTCTCATAAAATAAAACATTGGAAGTCGTCCTCTAATGCAACCGTTCTTACGTACAAAACGAAAAAATGTGTGACGACATATGTGAACTTTGACTAGTAGCCTGTTTGGAAGATTGTGAGCTACTGAATAAAAATGTATTCTAATAAACTTTGTTGTGCATACCACATCTTTAATAGTATTTGGATAAATAAATTGAATTCGCGTGGAACCATTACACGTAATTTCCAAAGTTTCTCCTTCGTATATCACTTGTTCTTGACTTGGCGAAATAATTGGTTTACTACTTTCCGACACTGGAAAAAAAATCGTTTATTCATATAATTCCAAAGCGATTTAGGTATCATGAATTATTAGAATTTGTTATAGAAATAAATGTTCAAAATTTGAGCAATTATAGTTTTTATTTTAAATTTTTATATGCATTAAATATTTTTATTGTTTATCAATACATCAATACATCTATTTTTAAATTGTGATTTATCCTGCAATAAAATAAAAATATCACAATATGATAATATAATAAGAAATGTACTTCTATAAAACTATAAAGCCTGCGCATAAAACAGAAATCAGATCAACAATTGCAAAAAAAGTGTCGCCGCGTTAACCACAATGTCCTGCGGATGATTGGATTTATCTGGATCTCTTTGTCATTTTTTTGCAATAAAAGATGCAAGGTGCCGGTGTTGCGTAAACGCGATTGTGGTTCAGAAAGAAATCCTTTTTTTTCTCTTGATAAAAATATGTATACCGATGTTATCAACCAAGATACTTATTGTAGAAGCTCTAGAAAATATGATTAAAAAATGCAAACCAAGTTTTACAGTTTAAAGGGATATAATAATTTTAGCTTCAACGATAAGTTATGGGAACTTATTCTTTATTGTACTTTAAAATATAAAATTTGCTAATACCCAGGGAGACATACAGATCGAAGAAACGTTTAATAGACATCTAATAAATGTCTATAAACGTCTAATAGACATCTAATAGACGTTTCTTCGACCTGTATTTCTCTCTGGGTAGTAATTAATTTTATCTCTCTAGATATTTTGTATAATAATTATTACATATTATCGTCGAACATACGCAGACAACACAGCATATCCAAAAGACGTCCAGAGGATATCCCGACGATAGGATGTCCTCTGGGTATCCTTTGGATGTATTTGTACATGTGTGCTGTCTGAATACTTACTACGTGTGCAGTAAAACATAATTTATTTAAATGCAATCAATCGTCGACAAGTCGTTTTGTATGATGTAAACTTTTCTGAAATGATGCAAGTGCGAAATTAAATACGATGAGTTGCAATAATTGCACAACTTATTAGCTATTCTTAATAAAAAGATGAAAAGAATGTTTTGGTCACATTTCTAGTTCTCTTTAGCAAGAAAAATTATTTAAAAAAAGAAGAAGTTTTAATTACATGAAGGATATAGATACAAAATATATAAACACGGTTGAACTCAAATAAAAATAAAATAAAATGAATTCTCCGACCGCACGCGCAACCTTGACCGGAGCAAGATGTCTGTATTTCATTAATGATTTGAGTTCAATTGTTTTTATATTTTTCTTTTTTTTTTTATTTTCCATACAATTTCAATCTTTTTCTTTTTTCTTTGTATTTTCTGAAGCATCATACATAAATGACAAGTATTTATATATATCGTGCGTAAACAAATGCATTAGATTAATTACCTTTCCAGAGCGTGAAAACGATGATTAACACTACAACGAAGAAGGGCGTATTCAAGAACATTTTTATTTCTTATACACTCAAATATTTGTTGTTGAAATTTATGAATTTTGAGTTTAGAAAAATGCACACTGAATAAAATGTATCCACTTTATTTATTTAACTGCGTATATCACAAAAACCGTTATAGCGCGAAGCTAGGAATTAATAATAATCACTAGAGAGGAAATCACGCAGATAGAATTACAATAGACCGGTAGAGGCGCTATCTCAAGAACATGAAAATGACTTAATATTGAATTACATTATTTCAACAATGCAAACAAAAACTCCGTCCACTGAGCTTTTTGCTGTAAACCTGACTCCGCAAAAAAATTCCATTCCACTGGTTCTAATAAAACTTATCAAAAGCGATAATATCTCTATGTCATTTGCTTTCAGATATCGACAGATTTTTAGTTGATTTTTATAAAAAAAAGAGAAGCGAGAGGAGGAAAAAGAAAGAGAAAGCAAGAAAGAGAAAAAAAAGAAAAAAAGTTTTTTTAAATTTTATTTGTAATTGAAACATCAAATAAAACATAAATTTTTTAAAATAATATTTATCGTGTATATATACATATATATATATATATAGTATTTTAAATAAATTTAAAATCTTCTGGTAAAAAAATGATATAGGCTGTATAAATGATTATCTCTCTTGCTAATTGCCATAAGCGTAAGCGTTCACGATATTCATAACAGCTTTCAACAATTTCTTTATGAGAAAATCGGTATTTAAATAAAAATATGAAGCTGTTTAAAACTGAATTGGATCCGATTTTTGCTATAAAAGTATATTTTACTTTATATTATTTATATTTATTATATTTATTTACTTATATTTAAGTGTTTCTTTATTTACGAATTAATATAAAGCAAGAGCAAAAATAAACAAATAATAAATCAATAAAGTTAATATGAATTAAAATAAATCAATAAGAAATAAGAAACAATAATTTATATTTTATTATTTATAAATATACGATTGAGATTGCTAAATGGATAGAACATAACTAATTATGATATATTTAATTAGATAGAACATAGCTATATGGATATTGTCTGATCTATCTCGCGATTGTTTTGCATCACGTAATTAGGATTGTTGAAGCAATCCGGCATATTCTTGCTCAGATCGCTTTTTTGTTTCGACATATTTACGTAATTGTTTGACGTACGTATAACAGACGACGCATAATCATTGCTTTTCGAATCTATCTGTTCCACATTGAATTGCTCGGTTGATTTTATCTCGTCAGTTTGTTTAACCGGAGATAGTTTTAAAGTGCCCTCCAAGTTTGACGCGGATGGTGGTAATTCGGAGGTGTCCTGATGCGGTGTAGGACTAAATATTAAGGACTTATCTGTCTGAAAGCCAGGACTCATGCATAAATATGCCGAATTTGATGCATCTTCCGACAACGGCGTGTTTACATTATCCTGAGACGATGACGATAGAGTTGCGTGATCCGGTGCAGACAACATTGTTAGGTAATCAGTTTTGCCACTTTCCAAAATTATTGCATTCATGTTCATGTACGGTATGTTCAAATTGATGTAATGCTAAAACCAAAATAGAAAATGCTTTGTGCCATATCATATTTTTACGATTGTGTATTATAATAAAAGTGTTGCGTATACACAATGTTTTAAATTATATTTATATTTTCCAAATTGCTAAAATCCTAACAATTGTATTACTGATTGTATTACTGATACACTTTTAGTTTAAACATCACATTACTTGTTTCTAATATTTAGAATTTCTTTTGTTATTATATTTCGCTCTTGAATATCTGATTGATGTACATTTTTTGTTCCTTCTTTTATACTTATCACAGCTGTATAATGTTATAAAGTTAAAATAAAGAACAACTCACCGATTTCATATTTTCTTCTATTAAATTGCCAATACTTTCCACAAGATTCGTGAAATCTGGGCGTAAAGTGGGTTCAGCCTTCCAACATTGCAACATTATGTCATATACTTCACGAAAAGCGTATTCTGGCTGTTCCATTCTGTAACCCTCGATTAACTTTTGATATAGTTTTTCAACTTCTATGCCGGGATACGGTGTCTCAGCTAAGGTAAAAAATTCCCACAGCATTATACCAAAAGACCACACATCGGACTGCGTAGAAAAGATATAATCTTTCATCGATTCAATAGCCATCCACTTTATAGGCAATGGGCCGTCGCCTTTTTTCTTGTAATTGCCATCTTTGTACATACTTTTTGCAAGACCAAAATCGCAAATTTTCACTACATTGTCTTCGGTAAGTAAAATATTTCTTGCTGCTAAATCACCGTGTAACACCTGAAAAAACATATAACAAAATAAAAAAATTTAAATGATACGCAAGAAATACTATCTTGAAAAGTTAGGAACATTTGAATACAAATTAAGCAAATAAGTTGTATTTTATGAATATTACAAATTGACATAAAAAACAAAAAAGTTATTAAGTATTGCATTGTTTTTAACTATGCAATACTAACGTACCTATTTATTTATTAATTATGATATTTTTGTTGTAAAATTAATAAAACAAAAATTAAATTTTTATTTTATTTAATATTGTAACTGTTTATATATTAAAAAATAACTTACTTTTCTTTGACTGAGATATTCCATTCCACGTGCTATCTGAAATGCCCAAGATAACAAGTCTTGAGTGCAAATGGGTTTGAAATTTTGATCTTTGTAGTCACCGCGATAATTTGACCTCCAATCTGGTTGAGATGAATTATCACTGAAAATGTATCCGTCTGTCGAGCAGCTGGTTTCTTTATAATCTGTATTTACAGTTTTCGAACAATAACGGGTTGCTGTATCGGAGTCTGAATTTAAATCAAAACTGCAAAAAATCATAATATTGCATATTTTATTCTACTACTTAAGTAAAGGTATTTTTGCAGTTGTAACAATAAAATACATTTTAAACGTTCAGTAAACAAACCTGTTATTGCTATTGACATTAGCTGTTTTTGTCAGTATATCTGTACCGATATTATGTACAATTTTTCCAGTCTTGGAATCAATTTGATTAATAAAATTGGTTCTATGTTTTAAAAGATAATTTTGCAGATTTCCGAAACAGCAATATTCCACAATCACCAGCAATTCATCTGTTATAACATAAAAATTTTAATTATTTATGTTTTTTGTGTAATTATATTTAACAGTTTTTCTTATCTTTGTATATAAACATGCAATATTCTTGTAACGTTTTTATTAACAGAAATAGGCTAGAAAAACTAAAGCACTTTGATTTTATAGCATTTCTTCTGTAAATTTTGTCCTTGTTACAGAACCATACATTATTCTTTTACAATACGTACGTTTGAAAATATTTTTAGTACAAGCACCAAGAAGATTGACAACATTGAGATGCTTGCCAAGATGTATCATTATTTTTAATTCATTCGAAAGTGCGCGGATATAAGTTAGATCGGTGGTCCGACGAACGATTTTTACGGCAACGGTAGTGACCATCTCATTTTTGCATATTCCTAGCGCTTCCGCCTTCATTACTACACCAAACGCACCGCTACCTAATTGTTTTCCTAAAATATAATTTGTCAAAGCAAATGCTGTAATAAAATGAAAATTTTTATTAGTTGTAAGCAAAATAAGTCGCGCTTACCGAGTTTTAATCGCCCCCGAGGAAATTCAAATTTTTTATCGTATGGGAGTAATTCCGCTTGTTCGTCAATTGTCAGATCTGGATTTAAACATTCCAAAGCACCATCTACAAAGTGCATAAGACCTGCTTCCATTAATTCCCTCTTCAATTTCTGTGTAACAATTTAATTTTTATTTATAATTAGAGAATACTACATCTTTTATAAATTTTTACCACTTCTCGGAGAAAATTTTATATCAAGAATTACTATGTATAGCAGTAACCGCAAACCATAAAAAAATTATAAAATTTTTACTATGTTTTTCACATGTAAAAACATAATAAAAATTTTCAGTCCGCAGCTACTGCCGTACATAGTAATTTTTTATATAAAATTTTCTCCGTGTACACAATATCTAATTACATTTTATATATGTTGTATAAATTATCTATAAATAATATAGAATGCAATTTACCTTTTCACGACGAACTTTAATTGTGATAAAGATTGCTAAAATCATTGAGATGATACCCAAAACAGCTATTGAAATAGCTAATATTACATCAGGTTTTTGTTCTTCAACTGCTCAAAAAATATATTCAAAAAATTTTTGAAATATTATTGTATAAATATAATTGTATATTTTTCTTTAAAACTTACTTTTTACACTTTTTATAATTATCAACTGATAAGTTTCCTTGGAACCAAAACGATTAGTAGCGCGGCATAAATATTTTCCGCCATTGTATTTGTCTAAATGTTTGATATTAAGCTCTTGATAATTCGATTTAAAAGAATATTGATCATTTTCTTCCAATAGTGTGTTGTCCTGAAAATTGTAGGAAAATAAAATATAACATTTAGTTTTATTTAGTCAAAATAGTTGTAATTAAAAAATGTAAATGTGGTACTTTGAACCAAGCCATTATTGGTATAGGCATTCCTTTTGCAAAACATTGTAATGTTACAGTTTCATTGCGTCCTGGAATCATTTCAATATCTCTTGCTATGGTTTCGTTCATATTAGTTTTGTAGAAAAATGGTGATACAGGATCTACATGACATCAAACACATCAAAATAGTTAATTAAAAATATACATATTTGATATACACATTTTCTTAAAAAAAAAAAATGAGTTTTAATTTAGTGTAGTAAAAAGTTTAAGAAATATAGGCAGCAACCTATTGTTGAAACATAAAACATTTCTATATATGCAGAGTCGCGTTTGTAAAATTTGCATCCAGGGGCTTGTCATCTTCGAGCGCCTCAATCTAGCCTCCCTCTCACAATGAGTAAACAGTAAATAATTAAGATTTTGAATATTAATTAAATTCTACCGAAACACATTTAAGAACAAGGAGATAATTACAAATGGGACATTTTTTTATGAATATATAGAAGCTGCGGCGCCCCTGACGCTTCGGCGCTCAGGGGCTTAAGCCTCAAAAGCCCATAGGTAAACGCGCTACTGTATATATGTATATCTAAATGTAAAGGATTTCAGATTTATTCAGTTTTCATATTCTTAGTAAAAACTTTTGTGTTTATCAGTTTCTCTTAAAAAATTAAATCACTATAACTATAACATAATTAAAAAAATGTTTTAGTTACAAAAACGTTATAATTACCATGCACAACTAATTCATAACGTCTAGTTTGAAGAAAAGTTACGTTGTTCGATATATATTTTCCGACACAAGTATAATCTTTAGCATCTGATTCTTGAACATTAACGATTTCCAAAGTTGATCGATAAGTAAATAGAGTGTTGTTTTGCACAATGCGTAGTCTTTCTGAAATTATAGAGA